CGATTGTTCGACTGTTTTTGAATATTCTTGGGCATTTTTGGGGGACTTTTCAAACTCTGTCCTTCAACATCTGCCTGTAGGAGGACTCGCCCGACCTAACCCTGGTGTTGGCGCCGCTGGCAGCGCGGCCCGAGGTGGAGCGAGGGCGCCAGGTGCCCGCCCCTCAAGAGACACTCCTGGGGGGGGGGGTCTGATCGGCTCAGGGGCTCCTCCTCCTCCTCCTCCCCTCCTCCCTCCTCCTCCTCCTCCTCCTCCTCCTCCTCCTCCTCCTCCTCCTCCTCCCCCTCCTCCTTCTCACCCTCCTCCTCCTCTCTCCTCCCTCACTCTCCTCCTCTCCTCCTCATCCTCCTCCTCCCTCCCTCCTCCTCCTCCCCTCCTCCTTCCTCCTCCTCCTCCTCCTCCTCCTCCTCCCTCCTCCTCCTCCTCCTCTCCTCCTCCTCCTCTCCTCCTCCTCCTCCTCCTCCTCCTCCTCCTCCTCCTCTGTTCCCCCTGCGGATTGCCGCATCGAGCCCAATCGCCCACTCGTCGCCGAGAGGAGCTTGATGGCCTCCCCTGCCTAGGAACGTGCCGTTTCGCGACCTCGAAGCCCTACAGCCAGCCCGCACAGTACGGAGGAGCAGCCTTTCCGAGGGTCTCCCCCCGTGCACCCCTCGGTCCATCCTTGGCCACTTTCGCTGGCCGCGCCCCGCTCGAAAAGTGTCGACGTGGCCTCCCAAGGCCCCTGCATCCTTCTCGCCCACTCATCGCCGATAGGAGCCTGATAGCCTCCTCTGCCCAGGAACGTGCTTATCGAAAGCTTATATCGCCGCTCGAAAGATCGAGAGCTCATCGATCGAAAGTGGAGCGGTCGACCGAAGGTAGCCGCTTCGCGATCGAAAGCTTCTATCGCCGATCGAAAGATCGAGAGCTTCTCGATCAAAAGTGGATCGATCGACCGAAGGTCGCCGTTTCGCGATCGAAAGCTGATATCGCCGACCGAAAGATCGAAAGCTCATCGATCGAAAGTGGATCGATCGACCGAAGGTAGCCGTCTCGCGATCGACATCTTATATCGCCGATGCATCGGCGATGCCTTGCCGATGCCGGGTCGACGCGCCCTCCCCCCTCCCCCCCGGGGAGCCAGTCTCCCCCCCCCCGTCCGGATCCTTCTCGTCACCCCGCGGCTGCCGGGGCCGGTGCCGGGGGAAGTCCGCGCGAGCCTCCGAAGATCAAGCAGTGGCGAAGCGTCCCAGCTCGCCTATAGGCCCACCAAAGAATGTGATAAGAACCTCTTGTGGTCTGCATGAAATGTTCTTAGAACATTTCTGGCTGGGACTGTCTTGTCTTAACACATCGGGTTTATGTTTTAAGAACATTGTTTTCATTTTTGGGTCCGGTCCCTGCTCAACAAGAAGTTCATGCTTACAGTGGGGGCGCGCATCAAGAAACCATCTATGCTTTTCGTCTGGGCGTCCTGGGTTTCTTCGCTCCGCGAGCTGCGCGGTGACTTCCCGCGGCCGTTGAAGAAGCTGCTGCGTTCAGGGTGCTCCGGGCTTCCCCTCAGGTGCACCTCGCGCACGGGTTTTCAGGGTTGGGTTTCGTGCGAGGGTTTCTTGCGGCCGCGCCCGCACTGGATGATGCTTTCGGCCACTCGCAGAGGGGGGTAGGGGAAGGGGGGAATGCTTCTTTGAAGCACCCCTGCTTCTCAGAAGGCGCGGGCGTTTTCCATACATGTAAGGCCGGCGCCTTCTAAGAAGCGGCCCCTTCTCAGAAGCATTCCCCCCTCCCCCCACCCCCCTCTGCGCGCTGCCAATGCTTCTTGTGTCTCGAAGCATGGAATTGCACGAACACGTCGGCATTCTCATGATCGGCGGCGAGCGAGGGGGGGAAACGAGAAGGAGAAGGCCTTCTCAACAGGCGGCGGGACTTCTCGGAATCCCTCGCGCCTTCCGAGAAGTCTGTTCTGTTTTCGGGGAAGGCTTAGAAAGCTTCTCAGAAGGCCAGGGGACTTACAAACCTCCTGAGGAGGCCTTCTCCTTCTCGCTTCCCCCCCTCGCTCGCCGCCGGTAGGAGGGTCGCGTGGAAGATTACGTTGCAACTGCATGACGCCGTGTCTTCCTCGAGTCGGGGGCCCTCCTCAGGGGAAACTTCGCCGTCCCGTGGCATCGGGAGGGGAGCAAGGCGAAGGGTCGCACTGGGAGGTCGATTTCGTAGACGAGTTCACGAACGGCAGCAAGAAGTTCAAGCTCTCGCATTCGGCTCTCGATGATATGATGTTATTGTTGCGCGACGACTGAACACGCATGACACTTTGGCAACGTAGGGCACGGAAGGGTGTCAAGAGGGAGAGAAAGGGAGAGAGAGAGAGAGGGAGGAGTGCGCTTTCACTGACACCCCGCTGAATGTGCAAGTGGCAGGCGTGCTGGGAGGAGGAGGAGGAGGAGGAGGATGAGGAGGAGGAGGAGGGGCAGGAGAAGATACGAAGGCGCAGGATGCATCGAGTTCGAGTTGGGGGATATCC